AGGAATAAAGAATTAGTTGGTAGAAAGAAAGATGAAACGATTTTAATCTCTTAGTTTAAAGGAAGATATAGAGTGTATACACCGACGCCATTTTGATCGATTCTGAGCCAAGTCACCAAGTCTCCAACCATTGGTTACGATAGTGACGTAAGGTGACGTAAGTTGGCAAAAGCCAAACGAGCTCTTCGAATCCGTGCTGAGATTTCGTCAGACACCAATCCATTAAGGCTGATAAGACTTCCAAGATAAGTGAAGTTGTCAACGCATTCGACTACTTCACTCCCTATCCTTAGTTCAGGTGTGGACTTGCATTTAGATGGGAAGAAACGCATTCCAAACATTTGGTATTGTTGCTCAGTGCTACCAAAACACTCTGCATTTCATCAGTGTCTTCACCAAACAGGACTATGTCATCTGCATGTTCTAAGTCGATAAGTGCACCTCCTGGTGGGAGATCAATACCCCAGAATTCAGTCGATGAGAGCGTTATTTCCATCAGTGGATCTATGATGAAGTTGAACAAAAATGGAGAAAGTGGACAGCATTGGCGGACGCCACTCGAGGTTGCAAAAGCAGATGACAATTCACCATAAGCTCTGACTCGACTAGTAGTGTTCGAGTAAAGAGCTTTCACAAGGTTTATGTACTTCTGAGGTACGCCTTTCAATGACAGACACTGCCACAGAACCTCTCGGTCAACAGAGTCAAACGCTGCTTTTAAGTCAAGAAAAACCACCATTGTCGGATGCTGATAAGTATGCCTGTGTTCTAGAACCTGACGAATGGTGACTATTTGGTCGATGCAGCCACGACCAGGTCTGAAGCCAGTTTGATTTTCACGTGTTTGCAGTTCACGAGTCTTAGTTAGGCGTCCGATAATTATCGAGGCTAGTATTTTAGATATTATATTAGTTAAACTAATCCCTCTATGGTTGTCACAGGATGATTTTGACCCTTTCTTAAATATTGGGACGATAAGTGATTGAGACCAGTCAGATGGGATTACGTCCAACTCCCAGATTTTAGCTGAAATATTAGTCAACCTAGTCGCTGAAATTGGACCACCATCCTTAAAGACCTCTGGGCCCAATCCATCTGGACCAGCTGCCCTTCCTCGTTTTAGACTAACTATAGCCTTTTGAACTTCAGCTAGAGTTGGAGGACCTACTTCAATGTTCCATTCACACTGTCTGGGAATGGTGGGTAATTGTATAGTAGCTGAAGGCCAACTGAAATGCTCCTTAAAGTGTTCCGCCCATCGTTTCAAACGTCTGGACTGGGAGCAGATAAGAACGTCGTCTTTTTCCGAGATAGTCTCACTTACACCTGACTTTTTAGTTCCAATTTCTTTGATAAGCCTAAAGAGCTGTCTGGTGTTACCTATAGCCGCCGCCTTTTCTATCTCTTTTGCTTTTATTGCCCACCACTGCTCACGATCATTCCTTAGACTTTTGGTTAACCTAGATCTGATTGTCTAACCTAGATCTGATTATTATCTACTGGTTTACCGAGTTGAAATAACCATTAGCATGTGTAACAGGTATAAATTTAATTTATAAAGGTTTAAGTATTCCAGTTGTTAGTGTTAAGCACTCCTATTGGTTTGTATACTTAATTTTATTCAATTAAAATATCCATAATTTTTTCTATTATCGATAAGATTTGTTTATTTCTGTTGTAGGTATTCTAGAATACATTTGATTACTTTGTATAAAAATATAAGTTCTTTGACAGAATATCACAATATGACACTTAGAATGATAAGTAGTAGGTTTAAGTCTTAAAGTAAAAATTAACACTGGAACGAAGCTACACTCAGTTAAAAATATTATTGTCTCCTTAAGATCAACTCTAGTTGTATTTATGAATTTCCATGTACTTATAATAGGACCTAAAGGAAGAGCTTCTACAGAATTTTCTGAATACGATTGTTTAAAATATCAAAAGTATAACAATGAGATACCTACCTATTTAGTAGCTGACATATCTTGAATGTATAACTTTGAGATCCTTTGAGTGTGTTAATCGAAATTGCGTTATGTAATATGTGTTTAGTAAGACTTACTAATCTGATTCCTTATCTCCAGTTGAAAGTTTATATAAAATTAGTTAACTAAAGTATATATAATCTTTGTAACTCATTATAAAATTTCGACTAGTTAAAACTAGTGCAAAGTCATGGAATAAAATGGTGCTTTTTTCAGAAGATAATTGGTTATCTTGTTACTTTCTTTCAAAATCTAATTAAAAACCAGTTTGACAATTCACTTTGTGTATATGTTACTGATCGATAGACTCTAAAACATTCTAACTTTTTCCCTAGTGACTAAGTAAAACATCTGGAAGATGTGTCAAGTTTCCCATATTCTTCTTCTTCTTCTTCGCAATTTAGAATTTTAATATTATGTAATTATAAATACAAAATATCAGACAACAACTCATTATTAATAAATTTTAAGTAGTATATAACCCAGATATTAATTTAATCTGGTTGAATGGAGAGTGCTGGTGGGCAGCCTCCAAATGCCCTGATACGGCCGAAGGTAGGGAAAGTTTGCTCTCCCTCTCCAAATTCTCACACATAGTCACGTGTATACAACCACTACCAGGGAAGTCCTACTCACTGACTTCTTGCGGCGGATGTATTGTTTACGAAAGTGAGATGATGAAAAGCGAATGTCTGGCACTTTAATCGGGTTGGTATACAAAGAGGGAACCCGGCCAGTATTCCACCCCTCACTCAAATCGAATGATTTATGTGGCGCATATGTATTTAGTGCCCCTTCATACCAATATTTATGTGTTCGAATAAATAAATAAAAATCCAAGAACAGATTTAACTTGGTATGTTGAAAATTATCCCAAAAAATCTAGATGTAAGTGAACTTATCTTTACATATATTATTAAAAAGTAAAATACAATAACAACCGAACAATTTGTAAATACGTCTTGCTTCTTTTTTTTTCTATTTTGATACTACATTTTCACCTCCTCCTCCTCCTCCTCCTCCTTGTCCTCTGAATACTACACACATTCACACAGAAACAGTTCTTTTTATTTTCACATAGAAAAAGTTAAAACAGTTATGTAACCGGTAAATTTCACACTTGTTTAAAGAAAATAACAAACTCAACAGACAATCCTGATAATGATAGTTACTACTACTACTACTACTATTACTATTACTATTACTACTACTACTACTATTACTACTACTACTTCTAAGAATAATTTGATTTTTAAAACTTTCGCAGATATTTACTGATATTTTCATTCAATTATTTAGGATTAGCTTCTCTTTAATAGTTTCTTACCAAGATACTACAAACGACTGTATAATATTGAAGTTAGTATGAAATATAATAGTTTATTATATTATTATATGAAGTATGAAGTATCCCAATGCAACTGTTCTACTTTCATAACATTGTTATAAACAATTTTATTACTGTTTGAAAAAGAAATACTCTGAGAGATCTAAAGTATTTATATTAAATAAGAATGTAATCACTAGCATAAATTCATGATTTATGGAGTTCACACATATCGGGAGAGAAATATTGGTTATCAACAGGATTAGATGATTGTTACAGTGTGATTCAAATTGATTCTATGATTTTGTTTATTAAACTTTTATTGTGAAACCTGAAGGTCCCTGTTTAGGTACCTGGAGGTTTTTATAGGTGCATAATGCTAATCGGTAACAAAATAAAACAAAACAAATATCCAGTTCTCCCTGATTTTAAATGATATGACAAGTGAAATCGATCAGTAACTTATTGTTAAACATTTCACTTTAAGCTATTCAGTAGAAGAATTGAATAATTTTCTTCATTATTTCACTCAAGGTATCGCTAGTCCAAATCTAAAATATGCAGTCTAATGCTGATTTCATCAATTTAATTTGTTATCATACTTTCCACTATCTTAATACTATACTTAACAAGCTAAAAATATTTTTTATCACTTTGAACCCATACACCATTTGTAAATATTTTTATGGTTGACAAACAGAAATGTCACAAGAAGTTACAAATCTGCTTTACAAAAATACTTGATACAAACTAGTATTGAACTCTCAATAAGATTAATTTCAATGGTTTAATAAGATGTCAGTAGTTGTCAGTTTTTTCTCTATTTAGATGCTTTATCAGAATGTGGGTTTGTGGAGATTGTAGTAATTTAATAGTTGAATTTATGAGCTGATTAAAACTAGACCACCATGGAAAACCTGAAAGCACTAGACGGCCTAATATGGGATTTTTCAGAAGTGCGCACGTGGGACTTGGACCCAGCACCTTTGGTATCACGCGCACACGTTTAACCCCTAGACTACTGAGCGGTCATCCAACAGCGTCAATGTCCAATTTCAACCAATCCATGATATTGCGCCGCCGTCCATAATTGTGTTCGATCAGTTACTGCCTTATAACAGACAAGGTTGAACTCCATAAACCCTCATTCTGATAATAATCACCATATGCTCACTAATGGTTGGCTTCAAAAGATATCTCCCGGAGTTCTAGTGAGAAGCCGTGATCAGTGGAGTTCAATCTGTATTGGGTAAAGACAAGTATCTACCCCAATCAATAGCTGAATGGTTGCACAAGATCACAGATCGATTGAAGTTAGACATTAATGCCGTTGGATGCCGGCTCAGTGATCTAGAGGTTAAGTGTGCACGCGTAATACCATGAGTGCTGGTTTGAGATGCGCACTTCTGAGAAGTCCCATACTAAGACGAAACGGCCGTTTAATGCTTCTAGGTTTTTTATGGTGATCTAGCTTTAATCGGCTCATAAATTCAACTATTAAATTACTACAATTAAAAATACATGATAACTCGACGTAAAATCATGTTCATGTGCAAACACAACATCATCTCACTCAACTCTATTGTATTGAAATTATGCTTCCTCAGTAAAAAAAAACCAACCTACAATCTAACATTGATTGATCAGTATTCCTCCCCATAAACAAATCAACAAGAATCTCATATCATACAAAATATACACTTTATATTGAATATCTATCTATACAGTTATAATAAAAGAATAGATAAACAAATTTTGCGCTAAAAACAAAAACATCTATTCATAACTAAATTCTTCACTTTGAAATGTATCTCTATTGAGAAGATGTATTCATTGTATTGTCTTTTAAAAGGAAACCTCTACAATTCAATTCCCATATAAGACTATTAGTTATAAACTATCAAAAGCAGTTAAATCATAAGTATCTTCATTGATTTTAATATTTTTAGCTTCTTGTTTAAGTAAAGGATAAATATTCTCTAAATACCAAGTGAATGTATGACAATTTAATGAATTAGTAATAGTTTTACGTGATGTTAAATCCCCAGCTGGTATTATTTTAGACATTGGTGATAATGTATAATAATATGAAAGATATTCTCTAGCTAATGTTAAATTAGTATCATGTTGAAACCAAACTAAAACAGTACGTTTATGATTACGTAATATGGTAAATTCTTTACCCATAGGAAATGTATATGGATGTTCATTATGAAATATATGACCAACACGACTACATGGAATAATTTCAATTTGTCCATGACACATCCATGTTCTAAGTGATAATTCAATATTCTCTCCACCCCATATATTCATTTCTTCATCATATCCACCATAATTAAAAAAATCATCTTTCCATATAGCAAATAAACCACCAGCTAATGCTGGTGTTTTACGTGGATAAATGAAATGATATATATCAGTTTTATTAAATTTTATTGATAATGGTGTTACATTTTCATTAATATGATGCCAACGAAATATTAAATCCCATGTAAAACCTCCTAAATATAAATTATCTTCAATATTATCATAATCTGATTTGTCTAATGTTGACAGGATAAGTGGACTGACAATAAAATGTTTTACATTATCTGTAATTGAATGTAAATAATAAAATAAAATTAAGCGTTACTAGAAAAAAAAAAAGAGATAAACGTTTTTAGAAATTCTTGTACCAATAAGAATCATGATTATAACTTTCTACTCTTAGTACACTTGTTTTGTCTTAGGATTAACGTCCTACGCTTGTATACGCCTTTAAACAATATTACAAAGGCTGATTTGATATTAACTCTGTGACCTGCCCGAACCAAATATTCGACAATGAAGGAAGATATTTAATTATCTTTTGCGCTCTAATTCAACTGGTGGAACTCATTCGTGTTCATAGTTACGTCAGTATACGTTTAGTCATGCTTATATGTTAGCTTTATCTATTATAAGATGTTAATAGGATGCTGGAGGGGCGCAGGAGGAAATTATGAATATAGATTATGTCCAGGTTAATAATAACCAGCCTATAAACTCGAGGAAGTCAAAATTTCTATAGAGATTGGGACCTAAAACATCTGAGGTATCACAATTTAAACTATTCAAGCTATCTTTACTCAATATTGATTATCCCCAATCACTAAACATTAGACGTTGTATAACGAGACATCAAATAATTTAAAACAATGGCCACATTTAAAATAGTTCAATTTAATCAATATCCAAGACTAAAATAACTATTAGGTGAACAATTAACATAAAGTTGATATTTTTATAAACGTGGATTACACTTCAAAACTGTATCTGATCCCAGAATTTGGCCAATTATTATTGACCATTCACTTTTAGCATATGTGCATCTTATAAGGATTGTCTCGATATTGCCATTAAGTCACAAGCATTATAAGTGGATAGGGATGGTAGTTAGCAGTGGAATCCAGAACATTGTAATCGGCAATCGTTTGTAGTTTTACAAGGAAATAATGTTGTACACTTTTATGATTACATTGCATTTCAGTAGAACTGGTTGACTAAACAATTTTTCCCTATTAGGTTTACATTACTTAAAAACCTATGGCTAATAATTTTTTCAATGTCTCAGTATACTTTAATGCCGAATTCCCCATTCTTAAACATATATCTAAATCGAATGTAGTAGAAAGTAGTTTGACGAATGATTAACTTTATTTGTTAGCACAATATTATGAGGCTACTTGTCATAGATAAACTTTCTCACTGAACTTCCCTCAACAATCAGGCGGTCCTAATGATTTCATTATTTTTGGTTGTGTTACTGTTTGGAAGAGGTCTGTGTAATTAGCGTACCACTATTTAAGACTAGGTGATCCTAAAGAGATGGTCTTCTTAGCATTTTTTTAAAGATTTTTTTCATCCAGTTTACTTTATCGACTATTTTATCCCATTTTAATACAGGTTACCAATCCCCAGATCTTCTGAAATCCCATACCGTCTCATTTTGTCCTCATTAGTATGGGAAAACATTTTCGAATACATGGTTAGCAGGCATAATCAATGAAGCTCAACAAACGTGGGAATAAGATAGACGTCACTGACATTTAGGAGTCACAAAATATCGAAAAATGACTGGAGTTACAAATGTGAACAGTAATGTACGTATCTAATAATTCACAGGTAGCATAGTCACTGCGATTCCTGATAGTCCGAGATTTTATGCAAGCGAAATTCACAGGTTCACAATGCTAAGAATCCAAGTACGGGAATTAAACAATCATCTGATTTCCCCAGGTTTTCAATGGCATTCCAAACTATGTCAGTTCATAATTCACTGTACTTTCAAATTAACGAACATCTAGATTACCAGGTAGACCATTGCGTACAAACTCATTGGTATAAACGAATCTTGTTACTACCAATAACTGAAGATCTTTAGTCGAATCATGTGTGAGGTTCTAGTTTTGAAATCTCAAACCGGAACTAAAGACCTATCGAGTGTTCTATAGTATTTGATTTCCTATATTATATCCGTCTGTGATGAAAACTAACTTCAAACAATCTCTCACATCAAGTGAATGAAGATAACGTTTGGGCACTCAAAGTCAATATTTCGAAATTTTCAGTTTTTCAGTGACTGATATCTTCCAAAATATCTTACAAAATAGAATTTCCTTATTTGTTTGACACATGGGATATCAATTCCATACTAATCGGTTTGGGTTAAATTTTAAATGTAATCATGTATCATGTCATGAAGTCATAGTTTATGAAACAAGTATAATGATATAATAGTAATAGTAATCTTACATGGTAATGTTGAAGTTCTTTTCTCATCCTGTTGACTCGATAGATTTAGTTGTTCATGTTTTTCTTGTTGGTGTTGTTTTCTTAAGCTTATCAATTGAACAACTAATGGTTCTAACCAATAGTTCAATGTTTCAACATGAGCATCAAGAAATACTAGTATCTCACCAGTAGCATTCCGTGCACCATTCATACGTGATTTAATTAAACCCACTCGATTTTCATTTCGTATTACACGTATCTATATAAGTAGAATGTATATTAAAGAATTATATATCAAAGTAAATTATTTATCATATACAAGTTGTACATAAATAAGTATATCATAGTGATTTGTAATTTTCTTTAAAAGGGAAAATTGTCAACGTCATGATTGAAAAAATTTTGTAGAATCTGTTCATATATCTACTTAGTCGTGTATGTACTGGTGGTAGTTGGAGTAGTGAAATTATATTACGCTTAGTGAAAGCCAGACGAGCTTATATCAATCTGGGTCATCGTTGACCTCCTCATGATGTTAGTCCGGCTGTAAAAGACAGGATCTACAAAGGTGACCAGTGTATGACGTGATGTCGTGCTAGGAAAAAAGCTAAACGAGAATGGCATTCATTCATCCTTCAAGAATCTTTGGTTGCAGCCCTAGAGATAGTACAACTCAGTTGCTTGAGATGGTATCATACATGTCTCAGAATGGAAGTGAGTGGCGTTCCTACCAGAACTATCTTTCACTTTCTTCATAAAGTTGAAAGTAACTTCTTTAATGAATCCTTTTTGGTTGATTTTTCTTAACTGAACTGCTTTTCCCATTATTATTGTTGTTTTACTCTCAAACATTAATTTCTACACAGTTTTCTTCTTTTCCTTATTACTGATATGATGGAAAGAAAGTCAATATTCAATTGATTTACTCATTATGAGTTTTGTTCAACATTACTTCTGCTTTGATTTAATGTAATGATTACTCAATGTAGTATTTATTTTCTTTTCTTGTATGATATTTTATTCTGTATAATATACGATATTCTTGTATTTAATTGACATGAACTATGCTCTATATGTGATTTGTGATAACTGAGTATTTTTCATGTATGTGATTTCATTCTTATTATTAATCGAAATGGTTGTATAATCAATATATAAATGAGTGTATTTTCGACTAAGGTCGTCGTCGTCATCATAGTGTTTTGGGCTAATAAAACTTCGCTTATATTAGTCTTGTGTTCTTACTTTCGCGTCGTGGGAATTGTGGAGGTCCCTTCGTTCCGAGCATAAGTGGTCAGCGATTCCGACATAACAATCAGCGACGACCAGATACAAAGTAGCATTCGATTCACAAGTCATAATAACTGGCGACGAGGATTTTGGAAAACATTCACAAGACATAACAATTACAATCACCTTCTTTTCTCTATCTCTTCACAATTTCAGTTTTACTATGCGGTGCATATATATTTTAGTGCCCCTTATTACCTATGTTTACGTGTTCAAATACATAAATTGATCTTCGTTGATACTGAAGAATGATTTTATGCAAACAGAAATTGGATACAGTACCTATTTGACATGTTAAATGAAGATACTTTGTTCCATCTTTTTAAAGGTAGAATTTAAATATTGTTCGAGTTTAAAGCTCGAAAGTAATAAAATTAACGTTATGATTAACTTACAATATGAATTTATTTATTTATTAGAACACATAATCATTGGTACAAAGGGGCATCGAATACACATGCACTACTTTGTTTGTGTATGAGCTGCGATACTGCCCGGGTGCACAAACTCAAGCAGGTGGTTTTATTAGGGAACCACACCCAAAGTCTTCAACTTAAAGGTCTGATCTATAAGGCAGTGGAAGTGATGCAGTTTCATAGTAGCCGGTGACCAATAATTGGTTCATACGCCATTTGTTCTTTCAGGATCCTAGAGCCTATGTGCACCATTGGTTTGGAATCAGGGTTTTCCAACTCCCCTAGGTGGACTCTTCATATCCACCAATCTGGTTAAAGCGCCAGATATCCGCTTTTCATCCTCTCAATTTCGTAAACAACAGTGATGCCGTGAGAAAGTAGTGAGTAAGACTACCGTGGTAACGATTGTATGCACGTGGCCGTGTGAGGGCATTTCAAGAGGGAGAGTTAACTCTCCCCACTGTCGGCAGTACTAGGACATTTGGGTGCTACAATATGAATAGTCAACATTCTATTCCAGCAACTAACTAAACTATACACAAGTAATAAATTCAGGTCCATCCCTTTAAATTATAGCTTATCGATATAATGACAGTGACAATATACATTCATAATCAATTTCCTTACATAAACCACAACAGATAATGATTTTAAAAAATATAAAATCTAAGACAGGATTAAAGAAGAAAGAAAATCCAATGACATATGTTTCAGTTATTCCTGAGTAATGATATTAACAAAACATTAGACTTATAAATATGAAACAACTGTTAAGTTAATGTTACCTTGAAATGGATAAAACAGAATAGGAAAATTGAAATTTTCAAATTTTTACATTTTTTTTCAGTTTCCTTCCGAACAAACATTTATTTTCAGAAGGGGTTTTGTGGAGAATTTAGAAATTTCAATAGTTGAAATTATGAGTCAATTGAAGCAAGACCATCATGAAAAACCTGGAAGCACTGGATGGCCGTTTCGTTCAATTGCGGGACTCCTCAGCAGTGAGCATCCATGATCCCACTCCTCATAAGATTCGAACTCAGGACCTATCAGTCTCGCGCGCGAATGCTTAACCACTAGACCAGTGAGTCAGTCGGCATCCAATAGTGTTAATGTCTAGCTTCAACCAATCCACGAAATTGCGCCACTGTACACTATTATCTTCAGTGAGCTGATATCTCACAACAGACCTGGTTGAAGTCCGCTGATCATGGCTTCTCACTAGAACTCCAGGAAATACCTCTTGAAGTCAGTCACTAGTGAGCAGATGATTATTATCAGAAGTGGTTTTGTGGAGATTTTTAATAATTTCAATAATTGAAATCATGAGCCAATTGAAGCTAGACCACCATGGAAAACATTTATTTAGTTTATTCATGAACTTAGTATTGTCTAAAAGAAAAATAGTTTTTTGTTTCTAACTTGTAGTTACTTAGCCAATAATTAGATGAATAAATTCAGTACAAAGTGTAACTTTAGAAAAACATCTTTGGAGTTATGTAAGAAATAGATTTGATGTTTACTTCACGTTTATTCCTTAATATAATTACTGTAATAATTTAGAAGCCACCTTCATTACATCACTTGGTTATGATAACAATAATTATCATTCCACAGATATTTGTTCAGAGAATCTTTTTACGGTTAGATACTACTAACAAAAGGTTTTCTAAAAACTGTATGTATTAGTAGTAAATGTAAAATAAGATAATTGTTTAGTGGGTTAAATAGTATGATCTCAACAATAGCTACTAGCCTGGAATGATTGTATGGCTTGTTTGCTGCGTCAAACTTAACACTTTATATCACTTAGAACATTTTTACTTTGAGATCCTACTATATCAGTCAGGTCAGTTGTAAAGGGATGTAATATCAAAGTGCGAAGTCATGTTACTGACTGTATCAAACTGTAGGGACAGTAAGATATTTCCTTAGATAACCTATATCTCTGATAATACTATCTTTCCTTAATCAGTCGTTCATGAATAAAAATATATTATTATCTCTTAATCCTGGAAATTATTAATACAGAGCGACAAAATCCACTCATAGAAAGGTAGAATGTAACTGATCTTAACCAACTTTCCATTGAAATATACAATCAAAGTATACAGGTGAAGTGACCATTATTACAAATACAGTTTTATTTGCATGTCTCATATGAAAAAATATATTTTACTAATGTAAGTAGACCGAAAATGTCAATCAGTCACATATCTCTAGCATTTGGTCGTGAACTTTAACAAAGTGTTTACTACTCAACTTCACTAAGATTTCTAATAAAGCTTATATTCTTTTTGATGCAGTTTTGTTCTCCAGCTTAGAAAACAAAACTCCATCAAGATCATTCACCTGAGCTACAAATCTTCTCCACCATCTCAAGGCTTATATTCATTTTACCACCTAGATTTATTACTATAGTCATACTAAACATTAAACAGCTTCAGATAAAAATAGAAGAGTTTTGGAAATATGATCTTTAAATGAGTGCAACTGCATTCCAGTGCTGATAATCATAGTGAGACTCAACCCAGTATCTTTTCCTTCAAACACTAACACATTGTTCACTGAGAAACCCGACCCAGACAGAATGATTATATCAAAGTAGTCCGCATAGGATATCGGTATGCTAATTCAGTCATTGCATATAAACAATATGATTATATCCCAACGAAGACTGAAGGAATGGTAACTCCCAGGACTAATGTTGAACTATTATTATAAATATATTCTTATTGTATAATTATTAAGTAACTAGATTAAATATAAATACCTTTTATCATGAGCTTTCGACTAGCCCATCAACAACTGTCGTATGATTCACTAATATTAATCTGTTGCCAGTTAATTATTCACAGTCTTCCTTACTCGCAACAACTTTTGACTTCATCTTATTTAATTGTTACTTTTCCTTTTATATTATGATGTGGTCGGGCATGTCTGTACATAAATTATGTGTGCTTGAAGCATAGTATTCGTACAATGGAGGTTGACTTCTCTGTTCTGTACTCTATGAGTAAGGCATGGAGGGAAGCCACCGAATCTATGACCGATAAGAACTTAGTGTTGACTCAAGATTGTTTGTACTGAAACGATTCCGATTAATGTTTAGGTGAAGCGAGTTTAATCAGCTTCCATAAGTCATAACACATACCCTTACTAATAATGGTGTAAATTCAAAGATTTGACCTTTCGATTTCAAAGAAATTGAATGCTGGATAGACTATTTGTAAAAAACTAATGAATATACAATAACGTAAGAAACTTTTATTTCATAACACTGTGTAAGATTCTGTTTTAAGTAAAAATACACTTTTTTCCCAACTTAACCGAAGTTTAAATGGAGATAATAAAAAAATTCATTTTCTATCCAACGAATAAACATTGTCATTTTGTATTTCTTTAATCATATATTAGTTGATCATCATTGTTGGCCTGCTTGAACACGTGAGCTGTCTGTTGCTGTCATCTAGATATTCCAACAATTTATCTATTTTTACTTGTTTTAATACACCATTATGTCTACTAATTGCATGACTTATTCATGTATGTT